TTAAATATTGTGTTTAAAGTGAAAGCTACTGAAGAGGCATAAAGGGAGGAGAATAGGAATCTAGGATTACAACTAAAAGGCTAGAAAAAAATATCAGAAATAAGATTCAAAGATAAGAACCATAAACAAAGGGGACAAAGTCAATGAAGTTTTTTGAGTTGATGTTAAGCTCCAGAACAAAGTGACCAAAATTTAACGGAATCCCACATTCACATTAAATTAAGGATGTGTTCACTCAGAGGAATTAGTGAACAGATTACTGTTGATACAGCAGCAGGGTGCTAGGAGCTTTAGAGAGATATGAAGACAAAAGGGAACATTTTCAAAAGCAACTCAGGCACCTAGGAGTCTAAGCCCCGTTGACTTTCAGTGGAATTTAGAAGCCTAAATCACTTTTGAAAATTTTACACCTAGGATGTCTGTAAATTCTTGGGACAGTGCCTAACAAACGAACAGAAGAGAAAAACAAAACAAAACAAAACAAAAAAAAAAAAGGGCAACATGAGCGAAGGCTGCAGTTAAGCATGCATGAGTGCGTGCATATTAGGGATGTAAATACCATTTTAAAAAGTATCCATTTTAACTATTAAAATTATATTGGTTAACTGTTTAACCGTTAACATGATGGGGGCCCCACCCGGCAGAGGTCCGTGGCTGCCGCCTGTCCCCATCCAGCAGAGATCCGGGGCTGCCGCCAATCTGTTTTAAAAATTAACTGCAATATATTAACGGTAAGACTAATACTTATCGTTTAACTGTTTAATATTTTACATCCCTAGTGCATTTTTCAGTAGGTTAATGTGGATGACAGCAAGGCGAATTTAGCACACAAGCCTCCTTGACTAAGCCTATCAGAAGCAGCAACAGAAGCTGGCATTAGTATATTCAGAAGGCTATTAAAACACAAAGAGCACAGGTACTACATAGAAGCTGAATTAGAAAGGTAACATGATATCTTTCCTTCCTAAACAGCTGCATTTCTTTGTTTAAAAAAATATAAGGTCACCTGTTTTAACTGACTTCTTCTCTTTGACAGAATAATAATATTTTCATTAAGAGCATCCCAATCTTTAGCTTCATAACACATTTTTACTACAGCAACCAAGATACGGGACGTGGAAACCATGTCAGAGGCCTGCAACAAACAAGAAGTGCATTAGTGACTACATACACAACTTAAAACTACCGAGCCACTACCACTGCAGAGCCTTGACAATACAAAAACAAGAGCAATAATCCATTATAACTCCAGACCCACTATCTTCAAAAGAATGGGGAAATATGGCACAGAGCCAGACTTCCCACCCGCTCCACCACCATCAAGGAAAGGGGGAACATGGCAGAGCCAACCACTCTAATTTCCCACTAGCACCACTATCTGCCAGGGAAAGAGGGAACACACGAGAGAACACCCCAGAAATAAATGTGTTGCACAGCATAGTCTACCTACCGTTCGTGTCTGTTTTTCCAAAGAGAGTAGGGTTTCAATGACCTCTTGAAGTCTTCCTTCCTAATATCATGGACAAACATTATTAGGACCAACACTGAAAAATATACAGAACAGTTTAACCCAAGAATAGCTAAATGTGTTATAGAAGAAAAAGCATAATCAAAAAGCATAAGCAAAATCAGGGCGAAAGACTAATTTCAATGTAGTTTATTTTTTAACAAGGAAGATAGGAATAAACATTAATATAATACTTAGCATTTATATAGCACTTTTCATCTGTATATCTCAAAGTGTCTTACAAAGGTGGAAGTATCATTACCCCCATTTTTTTATGGATGGGGAAACATATACAGAAATTAAGGGAAACAATTATAGAGTGGCCTTTGGTTTTGAGTGCCTAACTTGGGACATCTTGAGTCTGATGTTCAGAGGTCATGACCATACTTTAACATCATTTGGACCGGTCACAGCTCAGCGTACTTAAAAAGCAGGACTTTGTGTGTCTGAAACTCAGCATCCAAAAACTGATGCCCAAAATCAAAAGCCACTTTTGAAAGTATCTGTTAAATAACCCATGCAAAACAACACAGCTAGTCAGTGACGGAGCCAGGAATACAACCAGATCACTTGAGTCACAAACCCATTCCCTCTTTCTCATGTAAAATGTGTCTATGCTTTAATTATTGATTTAAATTTAAAAAAATCCCACCTTCAGATACTTAAACTTCCCTCACTTTAAATAAATTAGTTGTTGTAGTATATCTCAGCTTTCCTTGAAATTCACAGACCCATACAGATAACTCCACACAGAAATGACACTCAGTTGCAACAGTACACATTTTCACATTAGGAATCTGGAGTTATGAATAATCTCAGGGCTGTCAAGCTATGACTACTTGAATTAGGGAGATTTTGAAAAGCTGCCGGTTTAAATGTATAGCTGACTGTAACACATAATTTAAAAAAGAGACAGAAAAACAGAACACGTTCCCTCAGCTAGAGAGCTACCATAAGTAACAGTATGGTGAAGGCAGGAATGTAACCATCAATGTAACCAGCACCAGCAGGAGAGTGAATTTGTGTGGGGGGTGGAGGGTGAGAAAACCTGGATTTGTGCTGGAAATGGCCCACCTGTTGATCACTTTAGATAAGCTATTACCAGCAGGACAGTGGGGTGGGAGGAGGTATTGTTTCATATTCTCTGTGTGTATATAAAGTCTGCTGCAGTTTCCACGGTAAACATCTGATGAAGTGAGCTGTAGCTCACGAAAGCTCATGCTCAAATAAATTGGTTAGTCTCTAAGGTGCCACAAGTACTCCTTTTCTTTCATCAATTTAAAAAGCATATAAGTATATTCCTCCTCTCCCAGTATACCCATACGCCTCCATTCTCACATGACACACAGTAAGGCTGTGTCTTTACAAGGAAATGTGGTCAAGCTTGAAAACATGCTCGATAAGCCAGATTTAAATTCCTAAACTTCATCCGATTGAAGATGAAAGGTAACACCTGTAATTTGATTTAGTCGGCCAAATTCTAGCCTAAACTAGAACATGACCACTTAAATTAAACTATCAGCATTACCCGGCATGTACACTAGGAAAAAAAGTTGAGTCTGGGTCTGCCTTGGGACTACTTAACCTATTCAAGACAAAGCCTAAGTAAATAAAAATGTAGTTAAATACTGTAACAAAAAACGTTGCTGTTACCCATCTCTCCCTTCCGATATTAAACAGAGCAAGCCAGGAGGTAGGTGACACATGCCTTTGCACTTCATATACATCCTAATCAAGGGGAGTACAATGCCCGCAGTCATTTGATACTGTGGACTATATGTCCTATATTTGTCTATGGGATTTAAAGGCCATTGTAAGGAACTTTAGATCCAAAAACAGATTACATTTCCAAACAAGTATTTTAGCTACACTTAATAGAGGTGTTTGTAACAAACAATGCAGCACTGGGCTACTTAAGCATAAAAACTGGAAGAATTTTTAGAAGGCATTAAGGTATTAGTAATACAGATAAGGGAATTTTCTTCCAAAAGTTATTTTTATCCTGACCAAGTCCCTTCAAACTGTGTACCATAGCTTGTCTAGTATATGTCCACCTACAATCACAGAAATAAACTGCACAATGACATATATGGCCTGTGCCTGACTGACTATATTGCAGGGAAATATCCTTGGTTTCCTAATTCTTGTGCATCACCACTGTACACGTGTCATACATGGCATCAGTCCACCTCCTCCCTATGCAATTTTGCAGGCTACACCTATTTGGAAAGGGCAAGCTGCAGCATAAAGCCTAAGTCTGGCTGCTGGGGGGAATGATGCCTCCAGGATCCCAATGTATGCTGCAGTGGGCAGTCTGTGTCTGGTTACGCTGAAGTAGAAAGGGTAGGAAGGGGCACAGTTTTGTCACTACACACAATCCATAGCTGCTCTCCTGGGATTCTTCTGTAGCCCCCTTCCCTGCACACAAGGGCCTTAAAATACCAGGTGTCACAGGAACACACTTGTTTGCTAGAAGCTGAGAGTGGAGGACAGGGAATGGATCACTCTTTGACTGCCTGTTCTATTCATTCCCTTTGAACCACCTGGCACTGGCCACTGTAGGCAGACAGGATACTGGGCTAGGTGGATCATTAGTCTGACCCGGTACGGTCATCCTTGTATTCTTAGATGGTCTCCATCCTCCAGCCGGGAGGGATTCCTTCGTACAGCTTAGTCTGTGCTGGCCTATTGCTGCACGCTGGTGGTTATTCTCTCTCTCTGCAGATCCCTTGTGCACACCAGTCACCAGGCTGGTGGGCTTGGCTCGTCCTTTCCATCCCATAAGCGGCACACCCCCCCGCCCACCCAGTGGGGGTCTCTGCCGATCCCACCAGCACACTACATGCCGCAGCAGGGCCCTCGGGCGGGCGAAGGGGCGCAAGCTGGACGACTTGGGAGACCGCCCCGTGCCCGGTCCCGTGGCTGTGTGAAGCGGGGAGGGGCACGGCGCTGTCCATAGCAGGAGACCGGTCATGACACAGATACATCAAGCCCGCAGCGCTCCCGCTCCCCTTCCCCCCCGCGCCGCGGCCCCCAGCGCATTCACCTCTCCCCTGTTTCCGAAGGGGGGCGGACCCAGGGCGTGATTGGGCCCCCCCCCGGGGGAGTCGGGACTGACCCCCTCGCAGCAAACACCGGCCCTGCCCATCCCCCCCCGCCGGAGGGGGGGGTTCTCCCCCACTGCGGGGGCGCTTGCTGCGGCGTACCTCCCTCAGCCCCCTTGCACCGCGAGCGTCCCCCGGCCCGGCTCCCCGGCGGGCGGGCGGCCTAGCCCGGGCCGCGCCATGACTCAGCCCCCGCCGCGGCCGCCGGCTGCCCTTTACCTGGGCCAGCCGCTCGCACTCGGGCAGGCGCTGATCCACCGTGGCGCTGTAATCCACCTCCATCTTCACGATGCGGCCGTCGGACCGCTCCGCGCCGTCGTCCGCCATCCCCCCCCCCTCCCGGCTCGGCTCCGCGCCGCGTCCCCGGCCCGGCCTCAAACACACACCGGAAACCAGCAGGGGCACCCACTCAGGCAGCAGCGCGGGCAGCTGGCTCGCGGCAGGACCCCGCAGGCACTGGCGGAGACACCCCACAGCCGCTGCAGGGCCCTGCCTGGCGGGGAGGAGGTAAGGGAGGAGGAGGAGGAGAGGCAGACCTGGGGGAGGGGAAGTAGCAGAGCCCTGGCGGGCGGGGGCGGCATGAGTAGGGCCCTTGCGGTGGAGGAAGGAACTGGCGAGGGGGAGGGCTGTAGCCGGGCCTTGGCCGGAGTGGGGCTTGGGGGAGGGGCAGTACCAGGGCCTTGGCCTGGGGTGGGGGTGGGGGGAGCAGGGCTTTGGATGTTAGGGAGGGAACAGATGTGGGGAGGAGCAGGGCCCTGGGAGGGGGGTAGGAAGCAGGTGTGGGGGAGGGGCAAAAACAGGGCCCTGGCTGGGGTGGGACTCTGGAGGGGCAACGGTCAATAAGCTTGTGCTCAAATAAATTGGTTGGTCTGTAAGGTGCCACAAGTACTCCTTTTCTTTTTGGTCAATAAGCTTTAGCTGAAGGAAGGGGAGAGGTGCTGTTGTGTTTAGGCTTCCCTCTCCCTCCCATCTCCGCCTTCCTCCCCCCTCCCCCGACGTTTTTTGAGTTAGGTAAGCGGTGCTGCCCTACAACCCCCTCTTCCTCTCGGGCTGCCTTTGCTGGGTGGCTGGTATGAGCTCCCCTTCCTGTTTCAATCTGCTTTAATCCCTGGTTACAATAATGTTCCAAAGAGACACACACTGAACCCACAAAACAGTATCAGGCTGAATGGTACCTGAATGTAAAGGTACCGTTTTATCCTGTGGGATCACTCTGGTGTAACATCAGGTCCCAAGTGAAGGTACCATCTCACCATGGCACAATGATTCTTGAACACTGTGCTGTTATGATGTAGCAGGATGCTGGTACTTGAGTTTGGTGTCAGTTTGCCGTGATCTCATCACTAAGGTGGCATGTCCATGTGACGATGCTTTGACATTGCTGTATGGCAGCATGTTTCAGCGTGATAATGCTTTCACGCCGTGATACTCAGAATGAGGCTCATGAAGTGGCTCTTTTTGTTCCTCCTGTAGCTCTTTGCAGCATGTGATATTAAAACGCTGTGTGATTTGATTATTAACCAATCAGGATGCTTTTACTATGTTATTAAGAAGTTGTAGATAATAAAATAATAATAGTTGGTCAGTCATTTTGCCGTGAAAATAATATATGTCAACTAAATATTTTCCCTGTCCTACTGTTTAAATATGAATACATTGTACTATGGTAAATGACATGATGAATTCACACTACTGTGGCTCTTTTGGGTAATATTGATCGCTAATTTCGCTCCTGAACCACTGAGGTCTGAGTGTCACTGCTTTCATACAACATGACCACAAAAGGCGATATCTTTGATGAGATGTGATGATGTTTTAACAGGGCAAGTTGCATCCCAGCCTTTATTAATGCAACATAAATCATACTGTAAAGTGGCATGTTGATCTAACACAATGACTGTTTAATGCAAGACATTGTTGTGCAGTCTAGTGTCACTTAATCCACTAACGTTGCATTATATGGTAATGAGATGATGTTTCAGAGCACTGGGATAAAGTTTTTATGAGGTGTTGTAGCATTATAATGTTCTGGCATTTTGTAGTGGCATTGTACATTGTAGTGGCGTTTTGATGCAACACGTTGCACTCCATCATACTAACATTGGAACATTTTGGTGCGGCATTTTCACATATGGTGATAGGATGCCATCACATTGTTTTGCAATGTTCCAAAACAAGTTTCCATTGTAAATGTTGTGTTGTCATACTCTGATCCAGTAGAGAAACTCTCAGAATGTGAAGTGTGGGGGCAAAAAACAGAGAAAGAGCCTGAGTTAGACAGTTCCTCATGATTTTGAGTCTTTATTAAGTAGTCCAGGAACAAATAACAACTAAAAAGTCTATGACTATGCAAAATAATTATCTTTATTATAAATCAAGGACAACATTTAGCTGAAAGATACTGTATGCCACATGTGTGATAAGCTGATAATAAAGGGAAACTTGTATTCTTTTCCAATCCTTTGTGACATAAAGCCAGATTTTTATCTCACTTACACTGATGTAAATCCAGAGTCACTCCATTGATTTAATGTGAGTTAATTCAGAATAACACCATTGTATCTTGAGATCAGAATCTGACCCATGCTGTCTTGATAGAAATGTAAATTCATATATTATAAAGCTAAAAGGGACACTGTGACCATCTAGTCTGACTCCCTGCATAACACAGGCCATAGGACTTCCCTGAATTAATTCCTGTTTGAACTAGAGCATTCATTTTATAAAACAAAACAAAAAAATCCAAGTTTGATTTAAAAATTTCCAGTAATGGAGAATCCACTACAATCCTTGATAAATTGTTCCAATGGTTATTTACCCTCACTCTTAAAAAGTTGTGCCTTATTTCTAGTCTCAATTTGTCAAGCCTAAATTTTCATCTATTGGATAATATTATACCTTTGTCTGCTAGATTAAAAATCCCTCTATTATAAAATTTCTGCTTCCCATATAGGAGGCTATAGCCTGTGATTAAGCTACGCCTTAACCTTTTCTTTGTTAAACTAAACAGATTGAGCTTCTTGAGTCTTTCACTATAATGGCATGTTTTCCAATCCTTTAAGCTTTCTCATCTCTCTTCACTGAACCCTCTCCAATTTATCAACATCTGTCTTCAACTGTGGACACCTCTACTGAACACAGCCTCGTATGCTCTTAAATAAACAGCTATGTTAACTTCAACTCCATCAAAAAAAAAGTAGTGATTGACAGTGATTTTAGCTAATTCCACAATTTTTATTTATTTATTTATTTATTTTTATTTGAACTGGTAACCCCAAGTATCTTGAAGCACCAGCACTCTCCATAGATTTCAGAGCAGCAGCCGTGTTAGTCTATATTCGCAAAAAGAAAAGGAGTACTTGTGGCACCTTAGAGACCAACAAATTTATTTGAGCATAAGCTTTCGTGAGCTACAGCTCACTTCATCGGATGCATTCAGTGGAAAATACAGTGGGGAGATATATATACACAGAGAACATGAAATGATGGGTGTTACCATACACACTGTAACGAGAGTGATCACTTACGATGAGCTAATACCAGTGGGGGCGGGGGAGGAACCTTTTGTAGTGGTAATCAAGGTGGGCCATTTCCAGCAGTTGAAGAGAACCTCTGAGGAACGGGGAGGGGGGAAATAAACATTGGTAAATAGTTTTACTTTGTGTAATGACCCATCCACCCCCTCCCCGCCCCCGCTCTCCTGCTGGTATTAGCTCATCTTAAGTGATCACTCTCCTTACAGGTTTCAGAGTAACAGCCGTGTTAGTCTGTATTCGCAAAAAGAAAAGGAGTACTTGTGGCACCTTAGAGACTAACCAATTTATTTGAGCATGAGCTTTCGTGAGCTACAGCTCACTTCATCGGATGCATACCGTGGAAACTGCAGCAGACTAGCTGCAGTTTCCACAGTATGCATCCGATGAAGTGAGCTGTAGCTCACGAAAGCTCATGCTCAAATAAATTGGTTAGTCTCTAAGGTGCCACAAGTACTCTCCTTACAGTGTGTATGGTAACACCCATCGTTTCATGTTCTCTGTGTATATAAATCTCCCCACTATATTTTCCACTGAATGCATCTGATGAAGTGAGCTGTAGCTCACGAAAGCTTATGCTCAAATAAATGTGTTAGTCTCTAAGGTGCCACAAGTACTCCTTTTCTTTTTACTCCATAGAGATGCTTTCCACAGGAGAAAAAAAAAAACAAATTTGATGTTCATAATGGTGTTCAATGCTTTAAACACAAGTTTTTAGGGATAATGTGACATCATGTTTCCCTTTTAATTATTTCATTCCCCTGCCTTCCTGTCAGACAGGTGCTTTAGCACATTCCCCCCCTGCCCAGATTTTACGGAAGGATAAGGATTAAAGGGGAACATGAGTACCAAAAGTTGCAAATGTTTGAAAACACATTTTTAAATTTAATCATTATCTTAGGCTATGTCTACTAGAGAATTTATAGTGGCGCAGGTGTACTGATGCAGCTGTGCCGCTATAAGATCTCTTGTGTAGCTGCTCTATGCTGACAGGAGAGAGCTCTCCCGTCGACATGATTAATCTGCCCTCAATGAGTGGTAGATGACTAACTATATTGGCTGGAGAAGCTCTCCCACAGACATAGCGTTGTGCACACAAGTGCATATGATAGCATAATTTATGTCACTCATCATGGGGGTGGAATATTCAAACCCCTGAGTGACATAGGTTTAGCCAATACAAGTGGTTGTGTGGACATTGCCTTAGACTCAATAAATAGTGAGAGAGAGCTTTCAGAGAACGAAGGGCCTCATCCAAAGCTAATTAAGTCAATGGAACAGCTCCTGTTGACTTCAGGGGCTTTGAATCAGGCCCTAAAGGGGAGAGGGGAGAAAATTAATTCCTACCGGCACTATCTTCCTCTAGCATTTGAGGAAGATATCCTACAACACCTGAAATCAGGAGATCAGAGGATGCAGCTTTTGTCTCCAAATTTGACTTCCTGCATGGATCCAGCAGGCTAGTCCCTTAATTCAGTAGTCATTAAACAATAAAATATGTGAAAAGATGGTTTGACTTTTATTGTTAGTTCCATAAGTCCCAGCTGTGTTTGTTGTTCAGCAGATTTAACCAATATATTTTTTTCCTAGAACAAAAATGGAAAATTAGTTATGAGGATAAGAAGTTCTTCATTTATCACCCACAGCATGCTGTATTTTGGGATGTGGTTGGTGAACTTAGAGGTAGGTCTAAGTGATATATTTTGACACCCTGCAAAAAATAGGGGACCAGATTCAGGCAGACGCTGCTTCCCAGAAATCCCTGCCCAGCTTCAGATGGAAAATTTCTCTGCTATTCTGCCCCTACAACACGTTTGGAAAGGCCACTTTACAGGCCGGCAGAGACAGTAGCATTAGAGATGTGTTCTGGGGTGGGGCTAGTGGTCAGTAGGTGTGGTCTTTGTGTTTATGTGTAAACATCACATGATCTGGAAATAGTCCTGGCAAAAAGATCTGTTGCTGGCACTGAGCTGAGCTTGAGGCTTCTGCTGTCCAGAATACAGGTGTACATTAATGCTACATTTGCTTTGTGCTTGTGTTGGGGACCGCTTCACATAGTTTTTGAATTTGGCCTACTAAATTGTGAGAATGTGTTTCGCTATGGTGTATTAAATGGGACTATAATGTTTGGTTGGTTTGTGGTGGAAGGTAGTAAATTAATTTAGGGCTTGATCCTAAAGTCATTGAAATCAATGATAAAACTCCCATTGACTGTAGTGGTGTAAGATCAGGGCTTTATGCAGGAAAGTTCAGCTGAGTAACAGCATGTGATTCTCAATGGGAAACCAATTTTAACCTAATTTTCCAGCTGGGTCTGAGACACAAAATGTTTAGGACTTAATTTTGCTCCAATTGACAACAAGAACAGAACGCCGATTAACTTCAAAAGGGGTAGGATGTAACCCTAGATTTAAGATTACGTAGTGAGTCTCTTCCAAATTAGAGGTGATGTCCCAGGTACTGTCTCCCTGATCACTGCTCTACATGCAGTCTTCCTTTGGTTGTTTTGTGTCGCATTATGTTTTTCTTTCTGGCATTCTGCAACTTTATAATGCATTTATTTTTATATGATTGGATCCTTTAAACCTATCACTCCGACCCCTCATCCACTGGGCAATAGGGTTCAGAGTTTGCAGGACTGAGCCCTTACTTACTTATTGAAACTTGAAATTGGATGATATGTCTTTGGAACAATCTTCCCTGGGTGTACAAAACCAAAGATATAAATCATGACGACAGCTTGATATTTGCAGATGGCTGTTACCAGGTTTGACAAAGCAGACTCATTTGATATGGAGGAAATGCAGTGCATTGTTCATATGTTTAAGCTGAGAATCCAAAGTACTGAGAGACACAACTCTATGTAAAATTCCTAGAGCCTTGATTCTCCATTGCCTTATGTATTTATTTACAACTGTGCAAAGGGAGGGCAAAGTGGATGTATAACTCTATCATCAATGCAAGCTAATAAAGAAGTGTTTTGTTTGCTCCAGTAGATGGCACTATGTTCCCCTTGGGCTAAGTTTACCTATAGGTTCAATGCCAAAAAGCAACTGAGATTTTTCACTCTCTCATATTACGGCATACCTATTTCATTTTAGATCAAAATTTATATCCATCCCTAAAAACCTGGTGTTGCAACACTTTTTTAAATACTGTAAATTATTTACATTAAAATGCAGAATTGCAGAAATATTGCACTACTATTTACCACTTATATGGCACTTTATATTTTCAGATTATTCTCACAGATCCTATTTTATGGGTGGGGAAACGGAGGTACAGAATTTAAGGCCACATAATAATTCAGCTTCACAGCCAGCATTAGAATTCAAGAGATTCTTGTGCACACTAACATTACTGTTAATATTAACATATTAATTACTATATTAACGTTAGCTTTACACCCTTAAATGTCACTGAAAAACATTTTAAAAAAACAGGCAAATTAAAGGCTTAACCAGCTGATTGCTGTTTCCCAAGTAATGGAAAAATTTGCCTATTAAAATGGGATCTGCTCTTATAGCTAAAGTAGCAATGAGGCACGTGTTTTCACTGACATTGCAGTGCCACTGTTTTAAATTCGATGACTGACGTGAAAAACCGTTTTAGCCAAGTTGCAGAGCCTGCACACATACAATGAAGGAGTAACCAAAAGGGAAGTGGGTGAGGTTATTACATCCTGTGTTTATTATAGCTCCTTTGTGCTCATTGCACCAATTCCTGAAGGCCATCTTGTAGTTTCTTTGATCATAATAGGTCTTGCAAACCATCACTCAGCAAAGGCAAAGCTGGGCAGTCTCAGTGACGTCAGGATCTTATGTCTGAAAAGTGTTTTGAAGGGTTAAAAAATGCTAAGAAAAGGAAAAATGGAATAATTCCATATTTCCGTAACAATACAATGTAAAGCATAGGAGTTAGAGATTGAACAGATCTTTTAGATAATCGTGACTCTTTCCCTGCCAGTGCAGGACTCTACTTACAGGACATTTTTCCGTGTTTTGTAGTCTTATTTTTAAATATGACAAGCAAAGGGATTTCCTTCACTCCCCTTGGGAGATAGCTCCACAGCCTAAATAACTTTTGCTGATGGGAAGTTCCTCCCAATTTCCCAAATTTCAGTTTCATCCCACTACTCCTAGTTACGCATTCTTATATGACCCAAAATGATTGTGCAATAAAATAATACCAATTGTGCCTTTGGATTTCATTTCTCTCTGCTGTCCACTTGCAAGTTTCCTTCACTTTGCTTGCTGGCTGCTGGCACTCTAGGAGAGACATGCTGTTTTGTTTAAATCCTCCACATTCTTTGCTGTGCCATTTCCCCATTGGCCGGATGGGGCCATCCTTCCTGCTGTGGCTGCTGATGTCAGATATACACTCAGACCCAAGCTGAGGCTGCTGCTGCAGAGACTCCTCAGTTCTGCTAGCTACAACTCACACACACGGAGCTGTGGTGGGGGAAACCCAAGCCCTAGGAAGGATCAAAGGTGTGTGTGTGGGGAAATATCAGGCAGCAGATCCAGTCTCTCCCCCACAGTGCAGAACTAGTGCGTGCATAATAGCAGCTGTAATACGGAGAGGAAGAGGGAGCCGTGTTTATCAGCCTGGAAAGGAAACGTTGTAAAGCCTTTGTCCTGGAAGTAAGCATCTCATCCTTGCTGCTGCCACTGCTCCAATATACTGCTGCCGGTGACATTAATATTTGAGGCTGGTTGTTTTGGGGTTGGTTTGTTTTTGATTGCTCCAGGCATGTCTTGATATAGCTGAAAAGGAACTGTCATTTTAATACATTTCCAACGGATGTCTTTGACTTTAAAGATCTCATTTGATGTTTGAGACTTCTTTGTGTGTATGTATGTGTGGGAAATTCACATGATCTCAGTTTGAAGGAGGAAGAACTGGAAGAAAGGAGCAGTTGTATTGGTTTTTCTTCTTGCTGGGTCATCCCTCCTAGATGGTAGTGTTGGGGTCTTTTGAGCACATTGTCAAGTACACACTCAACCAGGGGTTTGATTCATTTTTCTGTGGTTTTGTTTTTGCCGTGATCAGAGTGCAGAAATAACCACTCTTCTCCAGCTTTGCTGGTTTGCAGCAGAAATATGCTCTTGAAGGAGTACCGGATCTGTATGCCTTTGACAGTTGAAGAGGTAGGTGCATTCACTAATAATGCTTATAATGCATTAGGTTATTTGTCCTTTTCCCCCCTGAATGGTGGCTCAAAGGGAGGTTAGAAAAAATTAGTTATTTTGTGTTGATTGTACTGTCATTTTTCTTTGTACAATGAACTCTTTCCTGTTGTGATTGGTGTAGAGAAGCATATTTCCATTGCAAAATAAGGAAATCTTATGTAAGTGAAAGTAAGTGTAATGAATTCACTGTCATCGAAGTATTAGTTGTAATAATTTAGAAATCAAATTTTTTGAAAGGGTTGATGTGTGTTGAGATCTAGAATCTGATAAAGCATTTGTCCAATAAACCCAACTTCTAAATACATGAAAACCTTCCTTCTTTAGACTTAAAGATCTCCCTTACATCATTGTTAATAAAAATGGCCTTAAACTTAATGATTGTAGTGTGTAGATCTCTGATAAAACGATTAATCAATACGCTTTTAGTATTGGAAAAAAGTATTTTAAAGTCATGTTGCTTTCTATCAATCAGACTAAATTCTCTGGGTTATGGACATTATATTTTTATGTGCCTGCAAAGTATCATGCACATTTATGGCCATCTATACATATCAAAATATGTATATGTAATAGATTACTTAGACATATATACATAGATGTATAGTGAGTGTGTGTTTGTAAGTGTAATAAATACCTAGACATCTAAAGGCCTGCTAATTCATACATATGTGAGTATGATGGTGATGGAGCTTTCTTGTTGCACAATGCCACACACAAATAAAAGGATTAGATGCTGCTTTATCAGTTCTTTATGTTGCTGTGGTGGACACTAAAAGAAGAGAGGAGTTACTGTTTTGAAAGTATGACAAACATCAATCCCTTGTCTAACAGCCCTAGACATTTGACGGTGCCTCTTCAGGTCAATCAAAAACTGAACGTGCATCACATATTTCTTTTGCAAACACCCACACTCAGAAAAGTTTCTTTTTTTTCTACTTTTGCTTTTGTCAATGTGGCAGATCATTTGGTTTCTAAGACCTTTCTGGGCCACCGGAGGGCGCTTTGAATACGTTTCTTTTACTGCCGGCTTTTCTTCCCCCATCCCACTCTCTCCTTGGTGCAGAAATGTATATAAAGGCAGTGGGAATACTAATATTATAGTGATTTTATTGCAGTTAATTTGTATCACATAGTTTAAATATAGCACTGCATTGTCTTTACATATCTGGAAATCTGCTAGACTTCAGTGATGTGTAATGTTTGTGCTTTTGGTATTTATGTAGTAAAATGTACCGACAATAGCACAATTGTAGCTAGTCCTGCATTTCTTGCACTCTACAAACTCCCACTCCAGTCAGTGGGAACTTGGGGTCGTCTAGGAATGTAGGATTTGGCCTGAAAAGATAATACCTCTTCGGTATCTGAATGCAGTAGTTGACTATTAAATATTATTACATACAAAGGGTCCCCAAAAGGTATTGTAAGCATTCCAGGTTAAAATATAAAAGATGGTCACAAAATCCATTTACTTTACAGATCAAAGTATCCATTATGTTATTTGTTTAAATGACTACTTTCAGATTAATATTTTGCTACCCATTATGGATAATTTTTCCCCCCAGTGTATAGTGTGGAGTCCCTGTTGTCATGTCAGTAAGCACACTTGGGGATACTCCTATGGATCTACTTAACTGCAAAATTAAAGTAATATTTTTAAACTGCTGAATTTCAGATTTGGTTTTGTGATAGGGGTCCAGTCCTGCGCCCGTAGAAATTAGTGGCCAAACTGACTTCTGTGGGACCAGGATCATCAGAAAGCCATATGTATATGTTCCAAGGTAATAATTCTCCTGTTCTCACATATGTGTGTTAGCTGCAACAGTTGTTTCAAAGAAGAAATTGATAGAATAAGCTGTCATGTTGAACTGTAGCTCTTAACTTGTTCAATCTGTTATTTTATTGGAAGAAGCAGTTTGTCAAAGCCAAACTTCTTTGAACTCAAGCTGCCCTCAAACGATCACAGTGAATTAATAGCAGTTAGTTATGTGTTCAAAAAGGAAACAAGTTCCTTTTCCTTTTAAAAATTAATGTTACATAGCATTCTAGGGTGGAGAGAAAATCAAAACCCCTGATACAGCACGTAGCACAAAGGGGTCCTGGTCCATAAGTAAGGCTCCTTGGCACTATGGTAATACAAATAAATAATATAATAAATATAAGGATGCATCACATTCTGTACAGGGAGACTCAGGTGAGCAAGATTAGGTTGAAAATCTTTTGTACTGTATGATATGCACAGAATTATTTAGGATGCCCACTCTTGCTGCAGATTGTTCTCTGGTGTTAAATCATCCATTATTCCAACTGAGAACCACAGCTTACTTTATCTTACTTTAATTCACTGTTTACCATTTCCATCTCTGAACAGTGTAAATACCTTACTTTATAAGAACATAAGAATGGCCATATTGCGTCAGTCCAATGGTCTAGCCCAATATCCTGTCTTCCATCAGTGGCCACTGACAGATGATTCGGAGGGAATGAACAGAACAGGGCAATTTATTGAGTGATCCATCCCCTGTCGTCCAGTCCCAGCTTCTAGCAGTCAGAGGTTTACGGACACTCAGAGCATGGGGTTACATCCCTGAGGATCTTGTCTAATAGCCATTGATGGATCTATCCACCATGAATTTATCTAATTCTTTTTTGAACCCAATTATAGTTTTGGCCTTCACAACATTTGTTGTGTGAAGAAGTACTTCCTTATGTTTGTTTTAAATCTACTGCCTATTAATTTCATTGGGTGACCCCTAGTTCTTGTGTTATGTGAAGAGGTAAATAACATTTCCTTACTCACTTTCTCCATATCATCATGACTTCTATCAAATCTCCCCCCACTCCCTATCATCTCTTTTCCAAGCTGAACAGTCCCAGTCTTTTTAAATCTTTCCTCATACGGTTGAAATAAGTTGAAATGAGAGTTTAGTTGTACGCACTAATGTAATATTACCATTGTCCATATACATTACTGACAGCATGTCTGCTTCCAAACTGATGCATTGTGGATAGCGGCGCTCATCTTCTGAAAGCTAAGAAACATTTTGGAGCTAGATACAGAGAGGTCTAACTGCCTCCTGCAAGCTGTTTATTGACCTCAAATCCTGTGGGATTCAGTGGGAATTGAGGGTGTGCAAAACCTTGCAGGATTAGGATGTTAGTAACTAGTTGAAAAATGCAGCATTTCTTTCTTACACAAGAGCTTGGATTTCTTTCCTATTCTGTATAGGTTCTTATACCTCTCTCATTACCGAAATATCTGAGCACTATCCTGTAGCATATTATGCAATGTGACTGACATCTTTCATGTATTCATTCTCATATCCTCTCCCTAGGAAGAGAAGTGTGTGCAGTGGAGTGTCTTGTTTTGTTAGGGCTTTGTTTTGTTTTGTGCCCCTTTCCTTATTAAGAATCCTATTGCACTGTTCCTTCCCCCATTTGAAAGTTCTGGCTATGAGTCTATGCACTTTATACATGAGATCATGAAATGCTCTGTCTCCAAAGAGACTTTTCCATGGCTGTTGTTTCGTTTTGAGTTGATTTTTTTTAGTACTGATCTACGAATTATTCATGCATAAAACTCTCACATAACATGAATGAAAAAGAAGAATCCTTCCTTACTCTTCAGTGTTGTTCAGTTTGGGGTTCCCCTGAGACCTTTTCCACTCAGTTCGACTCCAGTCTCGGTACTCAGTTGCCTTTATTTGTCATACGGCAAAGCTACACTGAGTAGATCAAACTCAAGCATAGGAGGTGGGTATAAGGCATACCGCACATCCAGATACACAGCAAACCTCTTCCTTTATATAGATTTACACATTGCATTGCATTGACTATACCATTGCATTACATGTTTTGAAATTGGCTTGGTTACTTTGTAGGAACCAATCCCTGTACAACATGCTTTGTCCAGGCACTGTCCATGCACAACTTACTTTTTACCTCGTCTTTACATTCCCAGTTTATCTTCTCCATTGTAAATGGTTCCCCCTGCCTGTAGCTAGTACAGACATTTTGTTTCCAGCCTGCTGATCCATTTACCTTCCTAATCCTGGCTCCCAAAAAATAAAGCCTTACCTATGACAATTACTCGTGTCAAGCCAGGCCTACATGTTGTATTGTAGTGATCTCCAAAAAGTGAATAATTCCATAACCATATGTATGGAAATACCCAGGCACAATAGGTAAATTAAGGGCCGGGTTTTATCCATATTATGTAAGCAATTTAATCCAAATTGCTTAGGGTGAGATTTTAAAAAATGGCTTCTACATTTGTGTGTGCATAATTTTGTAAATAAATATAATTTGTGTGTAAAAATGGAATTCTGTGTTTAAATCAAGTAGTTAAATGTCTGCCTGATTTGTCCAGAAGTAAATCTGCACAGACAAATGCAGCAGCTATTTCAATGCTCCTTTGATCATTAGGTCCTGGATATTATTTCAAGAGAAAATGTCATTTAGACTCAAAAATTGATACATCTCAAAATAACAGGGCAGTGCTAATTTCAGGTTTAGACCTTTTGTATCAGATGTGCTGGGGCCAACTGCTGTTGTCCTTTAAAAGGCAAATCTTCCATTGAAGTGACCAGCAGTTCCACCAAAGTATAGAATGTAAGAGAGAGCCCCTGAAATTTTATTTTGGAGTCTGAGCCACCAAGCAAGAATCCTGTCCCATATCTAGGTCCTTATGAAGACACGTATTCTGGAGGGGTTCTGCCATACATAGTAGCTTCTCCATAACTACTCTAGCTTGTCTACTTAGGACAGTCAATTGCGTATTGATGCCATTGAAGATTAATGCCCTGGTTCAAAGCAGGTAATGTCAGTGGGAGTTTTTTCTGTACATCTGTAGCATTAGTTCCTTAGTATTTCTTAGCAATTAAAACATGCCCAAGGATACAATTTAATATGGGTTAATATTGCCATTAACTGAAATATTACCAAGTATATATTTTGCCCTAAGGTCCAGATTATCCCTGGCTTTTGTGCAAGGATACAAGGTAAAGTCCAGGGAAGAGAAGTACATCTTTGCATATTTGCTCTGTATACCACAAAGCTCAGTCTTTCACTGAGCTCTTGCTAGGATATTGTGGCTCCATGCCATCCTCCTCCACCTTTAAGGCTGTCGCTAAATGTCACAGTCAAGTCATTACAGGGTATGTCCACACTGCAATTAAACACCTGTGGCTGACCTTTGTCAGCTGACACAGACTGGGGCTGTAAAATTGCAGTTTAGATGTTTGGGCTTGGGCTGAAGCCTGGGCTCTGGGACCCTCCCCCTTGTGGTGTCCCAGAATTTGGGCTCCTGCCTGAGCCCAAATGTCTAAACTGCAGTTTTACAGCCCCACAGCCGAAGCCTGAGTCAGCTGACAAGGGCCAATAACAGGTGTTTAATTGAAGACATAGCCACAGAGAGAACTGCGTGTCAGTTGCCATGAGTCTAGAATTGTTTTCAAATATTACATTGGAAACTGTCTAATTACCTAAGTAATAGTCTGGGAAATGTCCTGTTGACTGCTTTCCCAGGATAAACACAACTATAGGCAAGACTTTCCAAATTTAACCAAAATATAAATGATGTCTGACTAGCCCTCATAATGCAATTGCCCACCACATGCTAATTCTGTCATCCTGGTTCCTCATCTTGTTGTACTTGCATGAGGAATTCAAAACCAGTCCCTCTGTTGACAGTCTTAAACCGTGCAAATTACAAAAGTAGTTTCTTTTCAATAGTACATAAGGAATCTAAAGTCTCATGAAGTAATTGTTTTGAACATATTTCCAATCTTCAAACCAGGCTGCAATTAACAAATCATTCCAGCTCTCAATTTTCTTTCCCATTACATTTTAATTTGTTCATTTTAACAAATAGGAATGTTTATATTACATCATATGAGAAAACACTACAAGATCCTACATAATTTTTTAAAGTACGAAAGTCACTCAGAAAACTGTTGCTAAACAGCTGAAGTGTTCTGCCTGAAGATATTAAAAAGATTCAGAAAGGTTTGTGCTCCATACCAGATCATAATTCCTGTCTTTTTTCTGTGTAGAAAATATCTTGTGACTTTAATACCTTCCAGTTAAATTATCTGAAAATGTTGAGCAAACTGTACAGTATGGTGGGTGGGTGTGTGTGAATGTGCATATTGTGACGAGCAAGGGCAACAGGTAAAGCCTTGGATCTCTGTAATAATTCTCTGAGCGATGTCTGGGGAGAGATTGCTCTGTAGGGAAATGGGAGCCAGCAACCATTTCCTTCCAGTTTGGAAGACTGAGTTATTAATTGTATAAAATTATATTAGAAAAATATGAAGTCATATCTCACCAACTTTTTGAAGCCAAATGCAAAACAAAGTGAGTCATCCTCAGTATTTTCCAGAGAATGGGCTGACTATCACCATTTCTCTTAGTTCTAGAGTTGGTATATGGGACCAGATCTTAAACTTCTTATTCTGAAGAAACTCCCAGTGAATAAAATAGCACAAATTCTTCTTTTATTTATTCTGGTGCCAATCAAGAGTATCTCCACTGAAGTCAGTGGACTTATTCCCAATTTACACTGGAATAAATAAGAGCTGAATTTGGCCCTTGTAAAGTATTTAGGAGCAGCCTCATAGTCACATATCAAACAAGCAAAAACTGTCAAGATACTCTCAAATACAGACTGAATTATTTGTAAGTTTCAGTGAGTCAGGATTTTAGAGCTTCCAAATGGGAGTAATCATGAAAAGTGTCTGTCATGTTTCCAGACATCAAGTATTAGAGGTTTTCCCCCCAATATGGACTGTTTACATAAAAATATTTGAACAATCAGTTTTGTTTGGTGACAACCTATATTTGCACTCTAAGGAGCTTATGGACATCTAACCCTGAACAGCAGGCCCACCGATTTGGGGGGCCAAAGGGGCAATTGCCCAGGGGCCCGGGCAATTTAAAAGTGCCCGGGGGCCGCCGCTGCCGGCAGTGCAGTGGGGCTAAGGCAGGCTTCCTGCCCGACCCTTGCTCCACAACGCTCCTGGAAGTGGCCGGCACATCCCTGTGGCCCCTGGGGAGGGGGTCTCCATGCACTGCCCCCACTCTGAGTGCCAACTCCACAGTTCCTATTGGTTGGGAACTGCGGCCAAAGGGAGCTGTGGGGGCGGTGCCTGTGGGCAGCGGTGTGCAGAGACCCTGTGGGCTCCCCGCCTAGGAGCTGCTGCCAGAGCAGCTTTCCGGTTGCTTTTGGGAGCTACCCAAGGTAAACGCTGACCCCCTGACCCCCTCCTGCATCCTAACCCCCTGCCCCAATTTAGAACACACATCCCGCACCAAACTCCCTCCCAGAGCCCACACCCCCTCCTGCACCCAAACCACCTCCCGCACCCAAACTCCCTCCCAGAGCCCACACCTCACAACCCCTCCCGCACCCAAACTCCCTACTGGAGCCTGCACCCCATACCCCCTCCCATACCCCAACCTCCTGCCCCAGCCTGGTGAAAGTGAGTGAGGGTGGAGGAGAGTGAGCGATGGAGGGTGGGGGGATGGAGTGAGCAGGGGGTGGGGCCTTTGAGAAGGAGTGGGAGTGGGGCAGGGCAAGGGTCTTTGGGTTTGCGCGATTAAACAGTTGGCAACCCTACCAGGTGGCCATGTGGAAGCTCTGGTCGTGCTGGAAGAGCGTGCCCAGCAGTGCAGCCGGCAGCTCGTTGGGCACCACCCAGTGCAGGCGCAGCACGGCCCAAATATCAGGTGGACCGTGTCCGTGGCTTGTGCATGCTTGGGGGCCCATTGACTGTTCTGCCCTGTGGCCTGGAATTGCTGTGAGCGGGCCTGCGGAAGAGATTTCCTAGCCTGCTGATTGCTCTATGCACAAAGAGCAGGTTTTTTTAGCATGTCAGATGGAGAGATTTAAGGCTGTCTGAAACTATTTGGGGATGTGTTTGTATGCACAGAGAAGTAGCTGACAGTAATTATGTATCTGCATAATTATTTGCTGGATTGGGAACTTTTGCTCCAGTGGCTTCTATTACATGATCTTTCTAAGGGAAAATCTCTGTTATGGTAGTGAGGTACTGTATAGAAGGACACTGTCTTTTTCTCTAAACTACAATCACCCACCAGGGGGCAATACTGTAATCATTACTAATGAATAAAATAATCAATAATTGTTTAGTCTTTTTTTCAAATATAACCCATGCATATGTTTTCAAAGAGATGTAATTAAATGGGACATTTGAATGGATAGCAACAAGTTGTTTGTAAGCAAGAGTAGGGCACATAAACATTAGATACATGTCAGATTAGGTTCATTTTTAATGACTTGTAACTCAAAAGCAGTCTGACCACATTCTTATCCTACACGGTAAGACTGGCAGTTTTCATACCAAGTTATAAGGGGTAGAAATCAAATATAATGAAGCCTGACTGAAGCCTTAGCTATGCAGAGACTATCATGTTTCCATTATCTTATTGTGATTTCCTCAAAGGATCTTGCAGCAGTTTTCAAATTGAAATGGGAAGAGATTTGTTCATCATCATTGCTCAACAGAACCTGGCTCACAATCTTTTATCTTCTTTCTGCAGATTAATCTGTTGAAGCACTGACGTGCTTGGCAGAAATGAATTAATGGCTAATTACTGATCTACACACTCTCCGGGCCTCCACTTTATACATCTTTTTTACTCTCCAAAAGAAAGCATTGTAAAAGACTCACGTGGACAAGCAGATCTGATCTGATATCTCATGGTCAGTCTTATCTGCTTACATCAAAAAGCCTTCATTAGAACATGACCTCAGATTGACCTTGAAGATGACAAGCTAGGGAGAACAGTTGTAACCATATAATAGCTAAAGCATGTGAAGCTATTACTATATAGGTCCTGCAAAGAGCCCGAAATAAATTGACTTCTAGTAATAACTATAGATGTTTTTGTTTTATTTTTATTTATAATCTAGTAGTTTAGAAGAAATGGTTGGAAGCCAGGAGGGATGTGTTTTAAAGGGGGAAGAGAATGACTGGCCTGCTTTACACTTGAGCTTTCTATAGCCTCACTCAAGCCACCTGTGAACTGGAGAAAAGTGGAACAGATGTCAGATCTGAGTTGAACTCTTCTGCAAATAGATCAAAGATCAAAAATAATTCTTCTCTTCACTTCAGACCCATTTCATACTTCAACCCAATACTGTAAAAGAAAACAAAAGTGTTATTGGAAGATTCTGTGATGATTAATTGAAAAATGTATTGAGTTAATAAGAACTTGTCAGTGGAAAAGATTAGACGTTAGCTGAGCAGCTCTCCCTATAAACACACACATGTAAATTACAATAAAAATACACTTGCGGTCAATGGAGAACAGTGTGTATTTCTTTCAGTGTTGAAGTCCTTTAGCTTTAAAAAGCAAAAAGGTTAACACTTACACTTTTGATTGGAAGGTTTCATCTGACATAATTTAGAGCCCGATCCTGCCGTCCCTACACAGGAAGAGCTGCCAATTAATACTTAGCACTTATAGTATCTTTTATCCAAAGAGCTCTAGAGCACTCGAGAAATTTTGGTTTTGTCAAGAGCTCTGTGAGATAAGTTAGTATTTATTAGACTTATATTACAGATGGGGAAACTAAGGCACAGAGAGGGTAAGGCCTATATTTTCAAAAGTAGCCTCTAACTTTGAGTGCCTTAACTTAAGGGTTTTATCCCCTTAGCCAGATTGTCAGAGGTGCTGAGCACACTCAGTTCCTATCTAAGTTAATGGGAACGGCCAATGACCAACACCTCTGAAAATCAGGCCACTCTTATTTAGGTTCTAACTATGGATGGCTGTAGATGCCTAACTTTAAGCTCTGAAGTTTGAAAATTTTGGCTTTATAAGTACATTCTCCCTTGCTACAGTCTAATTTCCTTATCTGTTTTTGAGCTGTAATGCTGGAAATGCCCCATTTTTGGATGCATTTTGTCAGACTCTAGATGATAATCTTCTTAATTTAAAAATAAAATATTAGGCAATTATAGTCCTTAAAGTGGAGTACGATCTTTAAGTTTTTGGAGGGAAAAGATTTCTGCAATAGCCGTATGAATAGGTTTGCTCCTGGAGACCCTCCCTGGTAAGCACTCCGGGTGAAGTAACCGACACAGAGAGTCCACCAAAGTACCTTCACCAAGTGTCTTTATTATTGTTTATGTACCAGGTACATCACAATATAGCAGCAGAGCTGTGAAGCCCTTTCCTGCTCCCTGGGTCAGCCTTGTTTTCTTCCCTGGGTTCTCCAGCTGGTAAACTAAATACCTCATTAGCTCATCAGGTTCTGTAGAGCTGTAAGTGATCTCTTCTGTCCTTTCAAATACAATCATGCTTCCTAAATCCCTCCTAGTCTAACTACACCCAGTGCCTGGTCTGATATATAGTGACTAGGATGCTGACCTCCAAAGGGCTGAGATAGTTATGTTTGAAAATTAGCACCTCAGCCTGTGTGAGGGAATGTATCCAAGTTGGTCTGGCAGGTTTTAATACAGATAACATCTGTTAGGAATTGTCTTCTCCTTGACAAAATATTCTGCCTAGATGATCAGATAGCCCTATAATCAATGGTTTTGTCATTGACTGATTCATCCAGCATCCTCTGTGTGACTGGTGGACTGACAAACATGTTCCCCAAGCTGTCTTTTTATAGCTGAGTCAGTTGTGGTTGCTGGAATACATGCAGACATTGTAGTTAGCTATTCCATCCTGAATATCTGAACACCTGAAACAAAGATTTAGCTGTCATGCTAGACACTAATATACTGTCGGCATGGGAATCGTTCTGCATATGCATACTGGCTCTTTAGTTACATTCCATGATTTTGGATGAGCATGAACCTTGGCTTTACATCCTTGTGCGTGGAAAAGAAAAACTCGTTTTTTAACTATAAGGAAAAAAACAAAAAAAAAGCAGTAAGCTATTGTTTGCAATTTCTCTAGCCCTTTGGGCTTCTACTTTCCTGGTTTACACACAACTCAGCAGCATTCACACAGTTTGTAACATTTGCCACCTTGATCTTGACATTGAGCATCCTTCTTATATTGACATAAAAAGTCCTATAGAGCAGAATGTGTCCTCCATTGCAGCTTTTCTGTGATCCAATGGCCCCTTCAATGTAGACTTAAGAAGTCCATATTAGTTATTGCCCTAAAACTGTGAAACTGTTTCCCAGTGATGTACACACTGTTGAGACATATTTTCATCTAATTTACATCAGTGTAAAAATCCTGAGTAGCTTCACTTACTGAGAACAGAATACAGCCCCTTTCATTTGACCACAAATGCAAACCATGATGAACAATTGTCTTTAGCTGAAACTAACAATGCCTACTTAGAGCTAGCCCAGCAGATGGTAAAGGCTGACCATTGTATTGTTTGCTGTATAATGTATTATCGAATTGGTGACACTGGGCCACATCCTCAACCGGTTTAAATCAATGTAGCTTCACTGATCCCAGTGGAGCTATGCTGATTTATACCACGGAATATCTGACCCAGTGTTTTCCAGGATGACAGTGGAACTATTGTTACTGTCAGGATCAAATAAACTATACAGTGTGTGAACTGGCATGTAACTAGATTTAAATTAGGGATTAACTAGTTAGCAGCTGTTGTACCGGGAGGTTATTTTCAAAGGTATCATATTCTGTATGATTGCTGAAGCCCAGACATATCACGTGAGAGAATAATGTGGTCTAGGCTCAGAACTATGAGCTAGCAGCTCTTTGCTTCTGATCCTAGCTCTGATGCTGCCTCTCAATCTGGCCTTGGGAAAACCTCTCAATTTCTCTGTGCCTCACTTTTCCCAACTATAGAATGGGAAGAATAATACTTACAATGTCCCTGTGAAATAGGTAACATTTACTTATCAAAATTTGCAATGGGCAGTTAAGGTGAAAGGTAGGATGCAGATGCTAATTATTATTGTGATTAGGACCATCATCTGATATGAAGTATGTTAAACCTGATTTTTATTTCTTAAATGCTCTTCAGTATTTCAGTATAGATGCAGCTAAGCACCAAAAGACACAAATTTAACTTGGAGCTAAAGTGTCCTCCAGAAAGTTACAAACTCTTACCGCATTTTTATAGATAACAGATTTCACAAATACTGTGTCAAATACTGTCATTTTACTTATCCCCAAATATCTTAAATGCTCAGTCACAGTTTGTTTGGGGGTGGTAGAAAAACAAAATTCAGTCAGACATATCACCAAAACTTTGAAGAAATACAGCAAACATTTAAGGCCTGATACAAATCCGATTGAGGCCTGATTCAAATCACTTAAAAGAATCACCATGTACCTTAGTGGGCTTTGGATCACATTTTTAGAGGCAAAGTACACCTAATTTCTACTAGAATAAGATTTTATAGACAGAACTCTTAATCTAATACTAGATTTTATTCCTTTGAGTTGCCTTCTTGTTTAATTTTTCTCCCTGGTTTCAGTTAACAGGTGACTGACCAATTCTGAATCCCCAGAAATGTACAAAAATATAGTCTTTACCGTTAGAGCATATTCTGAATTTTGCAGGGTACAAAATTATAGGACTGTGGTTTCAATGATTTTCTTAGAAAATCTTTCTCATTTCCTGCAGATTTCTCCTGTGGGATTGTGGCTGAACTTTATTTATTTTATTTGCATTACAGCAGCCTCAAAGTCCTCAATCAGGAAAATTAAAATTCTGTTTCCTTCAAATGTTGGGGTTTTTTCTTTCTTTTCCTTATTCTTGCTAAGATTTTTCTTTCTCTCTGATCTGAAACCCTAACAATTTCCTATTTTGTTGTTGCAGTAGTTGAGCCTTTTGTGGGAATCCTATAGCATTTTACCTAACTTTTAGCACAAGTGGCCCATTTGAGGTAAATGGGACCATTCAAGTGCATAAATGTATGCAGGATTGGGGCCTTAATCTAGCAAGGGGTTCGTACATCTTATCTGCAGAACAATCAAAAGTCTCTAGATGTTTTCCTCTGTTTGTTTTAAGATTGATTTCTCCTCAGTACTGGAATTTGGGAACATTTAGGCCCTATGAAAGTATAGATTGTTTTCTGTACTTAGAAGCAATAATGTAGTAAAGCTGAATGTCTTTTGTTTCATTTCCATCATATTAGTTCTTGGTTTTGTTTCAGCATAGGTTTAATGATATTGCACAACTGATGACCTTGTGTTGTTGACTTTGAATAATTATTTTTCACAATGCATAACAAAATAATTATCTGATAATGCCAGTCCAGTTTAAACCATTTTTTTAGCCAACATTGTACTCAGTGGCCTGATTGACATTCATTTAGTGAAGACCAGTACATACAGGACTCAGCACTGTGTGTGGTTACACATATTTTGTTTACATTTTTATATCACAATTATTTGGAAGCATAATATTAATCTGAGTTTGAATATGCCACCTTATTTGAAACACTATTACCATGACACAGCACCTGTGAAACAAAACAACATGTTTGCCAAAAAATTTAAAACAACGATAATTGTAGTGTTAAGAATGTTACCTGGTATCATTCTGGGTAACAAACACCTAATCAGATTTTTTTGTTGATAATTTGTGAATACAAATCACTATAAGAACCAGGTATACTTAAAATAATCTCTCTTGTAGTTAGGCACAGTGAATTGTGTGGTGTGGATATATGTAACCTGACTCTTTCTCAAAGATACCTCATCATTTATCTTTAATATTGTACTTGATATTTATACTTATTAAAGTCAATGGAACTTTTTTGTCATTGACTTTAATTGGAGCAAGATAAGACCCGCTGTATTAATTTTTCCAGTTAGTTTATTTCCAAGACCTCATGGGCTATACATTGCTATTTATAATTTAACTTTCTCAAGCAGCTACACTGTTTATGTTACCATGGTGTTATATGTCATACTTGGAGATGG